GCAATAGAGAATCCAACGCCCCTAGACTCTAATTTTGGTACATTTCTTCCGTATTACAAGGACAATAGAAAACTGTATCCAGCACTGCATAAGAAACTCACAGCAATGGAATCGGTGGCATTACGCAGAATACAAACACATACACGAACTTACACAGGCTACATGTATTCTACCACACAGCATGCAGAGATATATGTCCGTGGTTTGGGGCCACACCAACTCTGTTTCACATCATGAGGGAGTGTACGCATCACAATGAAGAACACCACAACATGAACAACACAGAGAAACAATGAGAGGCCCTGCTGTCCAGCTCGGCCATTCTTGATCAGCTCTGGCTGGTCCAATGGGTAGAGATGATGGCTAGGGCCAGCGGAACCCTGAAATAGGGGCTCGACCATTTGGAATGCTCCGCGTTATGCGGAAATAGTTTTCTCTATCTATCTATCGATCTATCTATCTATCTATCTGTCTATCTATCTATCTATCTATCTATCTGTCTGTCTGTCTGTCTGTCTGTCTGTCTGTCTGTCTGTCCATTTGTCTGTTTGTCTGCCCTTAACGCTACTGGACACAGTAAACGGCATCAGCGGATATCCCAAACGGCCGACCCCATCCGCAGTGCCCACCAATGTTGCTCAAGATTCAGCGTTTATACTTGTGGGATTGTCAAATAAAAAGCAATTATCGTGCATATCTGAGGCACCATAACAACACGTATATATTCTGTATGTGCATATTTTACTATAAAAGCCATACATAAGTTATTCTAAGCACCATAGCGTTTATCACGCGGCGCTGATTAGGCAACTCTTGCACGAAAAGGGAAGTGTTTCCAGTGCTTTGAAGACGACATGGTGGTGTCGTCTTGCCATGTCGTCTTGCCATTGCCTTGCGTTCTAGACCTTATCACCTCTGAGACAGGCACGCACACCCGTCTCAGAGCAGCGCGTTTTGTTTTCCAAGCTAACTGTCAGATAGTGCTCATGCCTCATGTGTGACGTGACTTGGTGCGCTCGTTCGCCTCCACTGCATGCTCGAGGCACTCTATAACGCAGCGCCTCCAGAATACCATTCATCAATTTTTCTGTGCAAAATTTCAAATAAATGTCTTTTTTAATCTCGCAAGACGCAATACTATTGTCTTTCGACGACATTTGCAGAGTAACATGCAGATACGGGGCCAACTTTTTTTTTACATTGGCAACCAACGCTTTGCGACAGATTAAGCCTGCGACAGAAGGACAGAGCACATACGACTCAACGGTATACAAGCAAAAGTGTAATACCGTATTATTACATTCTTTTTTTAGTTGTGTGGAGGTATTGCAGCCGCGCAAAACCAGTATATTTGAAGAGGCACGACCTTTGCTTCGCGATAAATAGAAAGGCAGGCAAGAAATTTGGAATAGGTAGCAGGTTTTAATCCTGTCTTTCTATTTGCCCGAACCAATCTAAGCCACTGTAATAAAGACCATAACACCAGGAGAGAAAGGACTTAATCCTCTCTACGCAGCACGCAACTGAAGCTACAACTAGAGAGAGGTATCTCGGCCACAAGCGTCACCAGTACATGAAATTAACTGGCCATCTAGAGTGGCCTGAGGGCCTATCGTCATACCACTTCCTTTTCTTCCTTCATCACAACTTCACGTGATTTTTTCGTGAATCAATAAGGGTCCTTAGGTACTCACACCTACACACTAGTGCTATGAACTTGGATGAAACAGCACAGCCGGGGGCCTTCCCCTTTTTTCCCAGCCCTTTCTTTATACTCTATAATACATGATTTATCTTCTACATGCTCCTCACCCTTTCACCACTGCTCAGATCCTTTTCTCACCGCCTTGCCATATTATACAAGGCTATACTTTACCCTTACACCTCCCGTTTTACTTCATCGTACCCCTCCTCTTTTACTTACCTTTCCCACACTTGCTATACCGTAACATGTATATGTGCGCCATGCTCTACCGTCCCACCTTCTGCTATCGCTCCTCACCATCACTCACATTTCACACGCTCTTGGTATACTATATGTTACATGACTATGCATGCTTTACCCCTTCTCACTTCCTTTGCATCTTTTCTCTTTCACTTTCCTTTTTCACCCCTTTGCTGCGTACAAGTACGTGCTATGTTTTCATATTCTTCCTCATTATTTTCACGCACATACTGAAAAGCTATCCGGCACTCTATCAAGAATTTCGTGCATAATATTGCGGGTGCGTTTCTCGTTACCTAAGTCAGTCAATCCTCTCATCTATAAATACTTGTTTTTATCTCATCTTAACTACTATCGTCTGGATTCGGGTACGGCACGTTAACAAATATCGACAAATTTCATGTCATACAGAAAAGGGTTGTTCGTGCCCTTGCAGATATTTCTTATTGCTCTCACACCACTCCCATATTTCAGGACGTGAACCTGCTAGCTCTACCAGAACACTACCGCGCAACGCTTGTGAAATGCTACCAGGCGGGATTGAAATGCGACTTTTTAGGAACCATTGCCGTCCTAAAGCACACAAAGTCGTTCACAACACCCATTTCAATCACACGTGGTTTATCCCCCGCACACGCACCAACTATGGCAAAGATATGTTTCGCTCTCTCTTGCAGTTTCATTTGAATGTCATATCTGCGATCAGAGTAAAATTACGCATGTTTATTTTCCTTTCAAAACATTTTGTGTTTCTTACCACATGGGCACATGCCCAATTTGACTTTGGTCTAATAGTCCTCGTATCAGTACACTGAATTAATGATTTTCGTATAAGAAATATTTACAATAATTTTTTTTCAGTTTCACCTTTTGAGCTTATTGTTTTAAATCTTTCTTTTGTTTTCATTTGCATATACCTAGTAAACTGCTTGGACAATATGTACATTTTCATTGCAATAAAATTGTTGCCTATGCCGCACATTTGTAAGGGCTCGTGGTACCAGTCAAGCCCTGTGAGGCTTTTTGACCACGGGTTCAGCATTTTGAATGTTGAAATTGTTAACTTTAAAAAAATGCTCCCTCATCCTATTATCGCTCCACGTCACCGCCACTTTTCTTTCTCCTCCTTGCTATACAATACTTGGTTATGCTATAGGTTATCACTTGCCTTTGCGTTAGCGCTGTTCGCGTGAGCTGCAGCGCAGTACGGCCATCACGAAAGGTTACCTGCGACAATGGGCCCACCGAGCAACGTTTCTAGAACCAATGTTTGGGTGTGTCAACATTGGTACGAAGCGCGCATGTTCTGCAGAGCCAGACATGCGAGTCACGCTCGCTGCTATTCGGGACCGGGCCTAATCCTCGTCACGAAAAATTGTGGCTTTTCGTGCTACCAAATTTCCAAAACTACGTTGCGCGGTCGCTGTACGCTACTGCGAGGGCTCAGCGCTTCATTTTGCATCGCTTGGTGTCAAACTCAGCAGTCGCCTTCATATTTTGAGAAACTTCCGAGCATCCCAAAAGTACGCGATACATTTCGTTTTCTTTCTTGATTGCCGGGTCGCAGCTTCTTAACGCAGCGAACGCACACTGCATGAAGCCACCGCTGTTGCGTCTTGCATCAACCTCAAGCAACACTTCAGTGAATCAAATAGTATTAATAAAACAACAAAGTTATGGCCATAATTATAATATTTTTTTTCAAATTCACAAAACAGCAACATCATTATAGGTTGTGTTTACAATTCATATGGAAGTAAACATCTTCGTCCTTCCTGGGGCAGACTGCACGGGCACTTCTTTTTTGTTATTGTTCAGCTTTTATTAGTGATTAACACCACGCGACACGACGTCTTTTGGATGCTGCCCAGGTGATCCTTGAAGAAAGAGAAAACGCGACGAAGACATTAGTGAATGCGACTCAGAATAGCACAGTTATAAAGTGAAATCCCGGACCACAACCTTGGCTTTGATAAGAAACACCAGCATGTTTTTTGTGTTTTTATAAGAGGAGCTGGGCAAAGTTCATCATCTTTTCCAGATGCATGTGTTCCCGCCATACTTCTTTTCTTTTTCACAGTGACTATCAACTGCGTAAAGAAAAAAAAAACATCATAGGTAAGAAGTGAACGCAAAACGAGCGTCCCTGGTGTGGCTGCGTAGTTGATGTTCACAATAGATTACAAATTCACCCAGCACCACGCCTTTTCTTCATAAAGAACCCCTCAATAATTGATTGATATGTGGGATTTAACATCCCAAAACCACCATATGATTATGAGAGACGCCGTACTGGAGGGCTCCAGAAATTTCGACCACCTGGGGTTCTTTAACGCGCACCCAAATCTGAGCACACGGGCCTACAACATTCCCGCCTCCATCGGAAATGCAGCCGCCGCAGCTAGGAATCGATCCCGCGACGTGCGGGTCAGCAGCCGAGTACTTTAGCCACTAGACCACCACGGCAGGGAGGGAACCCCGAATGTAACACATCCTTGTAATGCGCAAAGAATGTTCGACCTGGCGGCGGAAAAAAGACCACCATGGTGGTGTAGTGGTTGTAATTCATTATTGATGACCCGAAGGTCGCGGGACCAAATCCCGGTGGCGGTGGCTGTATTTTAATGTAGACGAAATTTCAGAGCCACGTTGTCTAAATTGCTGTAGCCCTCTACTACGACGTCCCTAATATTGTACCATGGGTTCGGGATGCGCAGATCCCCTGCACTTATAGATATACGACGCGTAAGGATGAAAAGTGCGTTACAGAAGGGCAGAGGCGGCAGAAGCAAGGGGCACTGGGCTTAGTGGCTCCAACACCACTTGTCTTTTTTTTTCGTTTGGTACAAAACTAAAATCAGCTAAAATTTTTCAAGCACACGCTTATAGGGCTACTGAGCAGAGCACCGTGCCTATAGGAAGCACTTTCATTGCCATGATTATCGAAATACGAGATCAAACTCATCGAAAATTAAACGAACTTGCAAGTGCCGGAACTGCGACAAAGAACCTTACCGCGTTAAGTGAGGCTTTTTTGACAACAAGGCGGAGAGTGTCAGAAGGTTCCTGTGCAGGCGGGCGCCTTGTAGTCAGCGAAAACGAAGAAGGCCATAGAATAAGCGCTGATCGACATGGACTGCCGAGGATGGAGGACGGCCGGCACGATGTCCGGAAAGCGGAGAGACTCGCTGAGTGTCAGGCGACGTCCGTTGAGCAGCACGTCCTCCGCCACCAGGTTTCCGGCGGGGTCGGGTCCCACCGCGTAAGCCATTACGTGACTCGCCTGCAGCTCGGGATCCATGGCCGATAGCACGGCCGTCTCGTTGGACAGGTTCAGGCCGAACACGATGACCCCGCCACGGTGACCCTATCGTGAAATTTAACAGGGTCCGTAAAACCAATTCTGAAGTAAAATGAACATTGCGTATTGAAGGGTTTCAGCACGTTTTCAAACGCGTCGACAAGTAAAGCAGAGGACAAGACTGGACATCAAACTGAAGTTTATTAAAAGGCGAGATTTCCTAGAACACAGAGAAACCTTGGATTAATCAAGTACTAAAGCGCATAATCACAGAAAAGCATGAGTTTCACGAATAATTTTGAAGACCACGAAAGGTCCAAACGCTGGCGACCTTTGAAAAGCGACCAGGCCGTTTACATACTTAAACAAAAAAAGCTAAAAGGGAATACGATGAAAACCTTTTCTAAACTGAGCCAAGCTGTACACCTGATTGCCTGTGGATAATAACTTCTTTCTGGAGCAAGCGCAGGGACAAGTTAAATGCAAGAAAAGTCACTCACTGTCGTGAAAGCCACTGTTAGAACATTTCAATGACATCATGCATTATCCACAATCAGCTGCCCACATCTCACATATAATTATGAATATTTAAACGCAATATCTAGAAAACGGCATTTTCTTAACCCGACAAGCTGCTCTGAGGCACATAAAGCCTCTTCTTCATTGAAAACCAGTAAAGCTATTCATATCAACTAGATCCAGCTGACACCCGTAAAATATGTCATCGGCGTCACCTGCCTGTGCTGGGTCCATATATTCAATATGACGATTAGTTCAGGGACGTTCTCCTATGAAATAGAAGGAGTTAAAGTGTTATATTTGGAGGTGGCTACAGGAACAACGCGGGAACCACAGGCGTATGTCAGTTACATCTATAATTTCTAAGGCCTAGAAAGGGTAATTTCATGCCGATAACATAGCTCTTTCTTAAAGCACGAAATCATCCCTGAATTTCATCACGGCTTCCGCAGGGTAGGTCAAGCGAGTCTGCGCTTCTGTCAGAGAAAGTAATACCCAGAAGCATGAAAGCGCAAAAGTTAACTCCTGGCATCTTCGTTGAGTACAGCAAAGCATTTGACACATCATGCATGGAACCCTTTTAACAAAACCAGAATATGGCATGTGTGATGTCGTTCACTCAATTTTCTTGTCACATCTCTATACGATCGGCATTAGTGCATGGTTATCATTGCTTTTGCGTGACCTTTTCGTCCATTACTAACTGGTGTGCTCTATATAGAAGCATCTTGGGACTTCTTTCGTTTAACGCGAACGTGAAGAAGTTTCCTTTTATTGACAAGTGGACATATTTTGTTTATACGCAGTAGAGACCAGCCCGTTTTTTTTCCTCTGATATCAAACCAGACTTTTTTTCACAAGCGAATAATGAGTTGTTTAAATAAATCGAGTGGTCCTTGTGCAACAGTCCACAAATTAGTGTCATAAAATCAAAGAACTGTTGTTCCCGCTTCGAAAAACTACTCTATCTTATGCCTAATTAAACGTAGGTTGAAACTCGCTTGATGTGATAGAGGGACACAAATTTTGGTTGTTGGGTTATGTATACACATGATGTGAAACTCACGCATTCTAAAGCAGTTGTTTGCTGCATTTTTGTTCTATTTAAAGGTCGTCATATCTTATCAACTAATCACCTTGTGTTATGATCCAGCTATATCATTTTTTTTACGATTGCATATAAGCTACTGCACCTTTGTATGGGATGCAACTACAAAACAAAATATTATTAGGATGCCGCTACTCGAAAAGAAAGCTACTCGTTGCATTAACGTTGGTCACTATTTAGACCCCAGAAAACCGCTCTTTCAAGAAAGAAGAATAATGAACGTCCAAAGTTCTCTATGCATGCCACCTCCTACGTCAACTGCATTTTGCTGATAAGAAAGCTGCACACTTCCTAAAGATTTTGTCATCCCTCGTAGAACAGTCCAGCGCTTGCATAACACAAGCACCCGAAAAATGCTTGATAAAGAGCCATCGAACAAATCACTATACACAAACCCTGAGCTACAACGAGGCCAAGCAGTTAAATCAACCGAAGAAGTGCACCAATAACCATACGTTCGCATCACGCACGAGCTTTTGTGATGTCTTCCTGCTTGATTAATTTCAATGCCTGCCTGAATATTGCAAATGTACATTGTGTCTATGCTTGCAACAATGTATTCACCTGATGCGTGCTAATTTTTTGTGATTGATTTCTTATTTATTTTGACAGTTTAACAGAACATAATTCCTTTGACATCATGTTATCAAAACATGTGGTCTGGACATGGTGGTCTTTTCAATCTATTTATATGTACTAATCACCGAAGCATCACGTGTTCTTTTTAACGAAGCTTTTTTTGTGCAAGTGTTCACTGCTGTTGTTCTCTGGTTGTTGCCCTCTCACTTCATCAATTAAGCGGTAGGCTTACGGCTTTCTTGCTAGTGTGGCCTTTAACAATGTACTTGTTCATGTTGTACATGAAATTTCGCTTGACTTCACTTGATGTCTGAACTTCCAGGAAGGTTACAAAATTAACAGAGGCAGCGATGTACGCTTGAGGCAGCTATGAAAAAACAAAAAATCTTGTCAGTGAAACTTTTTCCGATTGCTTGGTGCTTTTATAAAATGTTTACATCCGAGATATGCTGATGATAGCAGCACGTCATAGCCAACCATGGTGCCGGCGACGATATAGTGTCATCAAAAGTGGCCAACTAACGGCAAACAAATTTAAGAGCAGAAATCTTCCGGCATATAGCTCTCCACCACGCACAGATGTAATCTGGGATTTAACGTCCCAAAACCACCGTATGATTACGAGAGACGTCGTGATGAGGGGCTCCGGAAATTCTGACCACATTAGATTCCTTGACGTGCGCTAACATCACACAGCCCACAGGCGTCTACCATTTTGCCTCCATCGAAATGCGACCACCTCAATCGAACCCACGACCTTTGGATCATCAGCCGATCGCTGTGATCACTGTTTCACTGATGGGGACCCATCAAGTACAAATAAATTTATGAAATACAAATGAGTACCACCCCATTGGACTGCAAAGCAAACATAATTTTCGCACATCGCGACACGGATTACAAAAATTATGAACAGATAGATACATGGGGTTCAATGTTGCAAAACTACAATATGATTACGAGAGACGCCGTAGTGAAGGGCTCCGGAAATTTCGACCACCTGGGGCTTTTTTCCGCGCACCCAAGTCTGAGCCCACGGACCTACAGCACTTTCACCTCCATCGAAAATGCAGCCGCCGCAGCCGAGATTTGATCCCACAACCTGCAGGTCAGCAGCCGAGTACCTTAGCTCCTAGACCCCCGCGGCAGGGGCAAAATCATGAACAGTCAAATGCACCAATCCAATAGCTTTCATGCACATGCGTGTACCATAATCCTGTCGTTTAGTTGTTAAATGCAAAACAGCAAGGATATCAACCCAATATAGCAGCCCCGAAATCCATCCGTGGAATAGATTTATCCAATTGCCTCACACAATATCATCAGAGGCAGCGACTTACGAAATCATTCTCATAACTAGCCCTCTGTTGTTTTATTTGTGGCCTGACGGCACTTGAATGTCAAATGATGTTCCAACACAGCGCACCTTGATGGCTCCATCCCTGAGGCAGTGGGCGTACAGACGCACCGCGTCATCCTTGGGTTGTGTGCGCAGCTGGAGCACACGAGTGCCGACCAGCCGCTTATGCACCAGGCTGATCCAGTAGTCGGGCAGCGGTCGGAACTCGTCGTCGGCAAGCAGCCGGTTGTTGCCCTGCACCAGGTCCTGGCGGAACACCACTGAAACGCCCTGCCTGGCGGCCGTGCCCAGAGTGTCAAGCCAGCTGCGATGGTGGTATAAGTGTCTGTTTGTTTTGTGGTTTCGTTACGGCCATTTCCATGCACCTATATGTAAAACTAGGGCATTCGGCGCCAGGTGCAAAAAGTTTAATTTAAAAGAGTGGACATGCGAACAAGGGCTCAAGAAAAAAGTCAGAACACCACAAACACCACTTAGCAACTGAAACGGGGCACAACGGAGGACAAGACAGAAGGCAAAGAGCCATCTTCACATGCCCAGGCAATAAGCCATCAGCTTGGCACGTGTTTGTGTCTTCGCAAAATACAACTGTTTGCGCATCTCTTCAGGCAAGTTAATTGTATACGTCGGCCGGCACGTACCCTGTCACTATTATTGATATACCATGCCTCAACCCTTAGACAGCATTCTAAATTGGTGTGCTCGGGCAAATCTTCGACTTTATCAAGTTTTGGCACGAGCTTACTGTCAGATATTTAGAGTACTTAGAGACACATTAGAAGGTGAGAATCCAGTTAGCCATATCTAATGTTTCAGTAATCTCTGGTTAACACAACAGGCTGCCTGTCCTACAAAAAAGCGGCTGCAGATAAAATGAATCTTATGCATCGAGGCTGTACAATACACAGTGAATTTCTTGATGCGTTTGACGGAACAAATGTGAGCCCGCGTTTCGTCATTTGTCATCGTATGCTGTCAACTATGGCAGCATATGACAGCCCGGGCTTCCAGGGTGCTCCGAACTCAAAAAAATTGAGTCTGTAAGGAAATGGGTTGGGGAAGTACTCAAGGCGAGAAAAAAACAAGGTGCAAAATTAAGCTCGAGGCCAGACTTAGGCTCATAGAAGACAGTAGATAGACAAAAAAATGTTCCATTACTTTTTTATAGAAACAACGTTCACGCATAATTATGAACAAAAAAACTAGACGACTCATCAGCAAATACAGGTTTGACAGATTTATGCGATATGGCAACAAACATTTATTTCATAGCAGTGATGAAAAACAAAGCTCTAAGTAAATACTCTATAGCTCTATACGCTATAGCCAATACTCTAAAGCAAAGGATTCGAGAGTGTTATGGCGCTGGCACTATACGAGAAATGGCCAAAACGAAGGCTATAATAAATCTTATAACTAAAAGGTCAGCGCTTTGCTCTTTTAAGCGAAGCTGGCTTGTCTTCCAATGACTAGTCATATAGTCCGATAAGTAATGAAGAAGATCCACGTATTTGCTGAGAGAAAGCACCAAAAAGGAGACGTTTTGATCGAATCTGTAGATATGCAAGCAGCTGCATGTTTGGGCACTAGCGTGATTGAAACCTTAGGTTTTAGAGACTACGCGTATAGGTAAATATGTGTGCTATATACATAAGTAAAATATATTGAAACATGTTGAATGATTGGTGGCGCAAATGTGTAAGATGAGAGAAACATGAGCAGCATAAAAACGACGGCTATTCTACAGTAAAGAGCATATTGATACTGCGATTTAAGGCAGGTTGTTTCGGGTACAGTAGCCATCATTTTAAACTTGAAAAATTAGTGTGGTGTAGCTGAGCTCACAGCCCCGTTATAAACGCAACACTCGTAGCATCCATTCATCCATGGATCCACGTCATACTCACTGTGCAGCCACTCCCTCTGCCTTTAATGTTGCCGGGGAAGCGACGCGTTTCAGGCAATATCGAAGTTGAGAATTCGGACTATAGGTGCTCAGAATCGCTTACTTCAGAATTATCTCAGCCGAACGTTATTGGCGTTAGACACCGCAGACAAACAGACAGGGCCTTGGGTCACTGGGTGTTGCATTTCAAGCATTCCATCTAGTGTCAATGCGTTCGCGTTGACGCAAAATGATATTTGCTCAAGCACTCTCATAGGCTTAGTTAGCCGTCACTTGCAACAATTTTGATCAAATATGGTTTAAGAAACTGTGGTGTGTGCTTAGAATAAATTTACTACAATTTAGAGTACGATGTACTCTTCTATGGGAGAGTGTTTAGAAAAAGTGGTTAACGATTTAGAGAACTTAGTACTCTACTATAAGAAAGCTGAAATACGTAATAAGCTGTCCCAGAGCCAATGAAGAAGTTATTTTGTATAGATCTAGATGGGCTTAATAGCATCCCGGTCGCTTATGAACCAGCCTGTCCTCACCATGCCAACGCAAGTTGCCGGCATTTTTCACAGACGCAAAACTCATCTTAAAAGTCACTCAGCGTTGAGTTCTTGTGTAGTCAGCAAGTTGTCAATCACCTCGCACATTTTTTTCAAGCATTTTTTACTTCATTTCATGCTACAGAAAAACTGCCTTCAAACCTAATCTCTTTATTCTGTGATGCCATGTATGCTGCGACAAACTCTGGAAACCTTAGGCTAAAGGATATGTTTACAAAAACCTTTGAAAAATCACTGAAATATCAAATGACACGTGCTACCTACGTCTGTCTGTGTTTGCAGGCTATAACAAGCATATTCACGGCCAAGTGAACACAAGGCGTTTTTCGGATTTCAAAGCAGATACAGATGACGGAATTTTGTTAGTTGTACTTGACGTAAGTAATTGGGGAACTAGAAAACCATTCCAGACTCTGCTTTGTGCATCACCTGTTTACTGGTGCATCTGTTGAAGTAAGTATTTAATTGCGCACCGATGTACTCGCCAGTACACCCTAGGTTTGTCACCTAGGGTAATGCGCAAATATAAATGCGCGCAGGCTCACACGAGCGACGAAGCGTATGTATCCGAGATGGCGAGCAGTCCGTCACCGGCGGCAGACGCGGTCTCGGTGATCCAGAGCGACTTGTGCAGTCCGTTTCGCTTCAGCACCGACCACAGCTGCTGGATGCCGTCCGAGAGGCCACGGAGCGTTGTTCCATTCAGGATGTCGGCCACAGTTCCTGTGGGGTTCCGGTGGTGGTAGCTGCGACACAAGGTAAGGTCATTTTCAATGAGGAAATGGTAACTGGTTCAACTTACTGAGTAAGAAAGGACATGAGAATACTCAAGAGCCCCTAGTCGAAAAAATGAAAGGCATAGTCATGAATTATAAACAGGATCCTGAATGAAACTCCTGCATTTGATAATTAAGTACTCGGCTCATGCCGTAGGTACCATTCGTATTCTAGACAGTGCTGTCACTACCACTTCTGGCGCACTAGTGTCGTATCGACGCCACAGGCATTGCCAAATCACGGCAGTTTGGAAGCGCTTATTCGCGCAGCAGCTCGTTTCACTGTATCAACCCAAGTCGATGCACGATCGCTCCCCTATCACTCAGATCTGCCTGTGACACGGAGAGTGGTCTGGCATTCGTTTAGTTTATTCTGCATGAGCACAAACGCTGGCATTCCCGCGCCCTTCACAAGGCCCAGGCACTGCATGCTGCTCTGGAAATTCCTGCACTGGCTGCGTAATGTTCTACAAGTGGTGCATTGCCGTTCCCGCCAAATGTGCGTACAGCCACCCCCATAGAGTCATGAGCGCCGGCTTTTGGTCACTCCGCCGGGTGGTTGGAGCGAACGCAGTATTGGGTTGCTGTTTCCCTTCAAGAGACAATAGGGAGTTTTAGAATACCGTTTGCAAGCGCTGCGGGCGTTGCGGGCGCTATAAGAGCTTTAGAATAGCGTTTGCCCTGCTGCGATATAAACGCTTGATCGCAGCGACACCGTACCCTCGAAACCAGCGCTTGCGTGCCACATGCGGGCCGCCATCACCGCCCGTAGCCTCGAAACCAGCGCTTGCGGGCCACATGTGGGCCGCCGTTACCGCACGCAATTTCGGATTTTTCGCGTGCGGTCCGCGAACGCGAACGCCGACTAGCGTGACGACGCATGCGCAGTGGCAGCGACCGCACCGCAAGTGCTCGCGGTGCGCTATTCTAAAACTCCCAACTTTTAGTTGGGCGTGCGTAACGAGCCTACATACGTGGCACGATACGTTGCGTATGCTGCATGCGAAGCGCTCAACGACACTTTTAGTTCACCGTATTGACCATACCGAGGTACGTTTGGTTCAACTAGATGTGTGTTAATAGAAAGAAAAAATTTTAAGTGCTTTTTAGCGCACTCGTGTGGTAGCGGCCGTCATAATGGCCACTGACATCTACGCCAAGGTGAATTATTTTGATCCATGGTTTACGTTGATTTGTTCCAGATGCCTAAACAGATCGCTGGTTTGTACTTCTGATAGCAGCACAACATCGTCTCTCAAAGTAAAATATATTCGATTTGGGCGAACTTTGTTGCTCTCTGCTTTCGATGTCATCACTGCCATTTTGCTGTCTGGTTCCTATTTCAATCGAGATATCGCGAGAGCGTTGCGGTGCGTACGCTCCACCTCGTCACGTTTACGCATGCCGCCTTTTTTTTTGGCATACGCCAATATTTATGGAACATATACTTTACGTACTGCACATGCGCACTTCCCTCACTTAGCCACGCTGCGTACGTAGGCTCGTTACGTACGCCTAACTAAATGTGTCTAATGTGGACGCAGCGTACGGATCGCGCATTCCGCAAACAGGCGCAGTTTTGCAAAAATAAAGCAGTTCCTACCCAACAGCCGAGCGGTGTCGTTCCTCATTCGGTGCACTTCACAAAACCCGCAACGTCATAATGGTGACGACGCACGGATTGTGATGCTAGCGCAACTTGGACGCTATATGCGTGTACTGGCTACAGAAGGAATATACGGCGCCATCGAGCCCTTCACGGGAGCAGCGAAGAGAAGAAACGTGCCCTGCTCTTCACGTCACGCGGTGTGGACACCTTCGAGACAGTGCGTGCGCTGGTCATGCCGAAAACGCCTGGGGAAGTCAGCTTCAGCGAACTGGTCACACTTCAGTGGCTTTCCAACCCAAGACCATCGGAGCTTTATGGCCAGTACTTCTAGCGACGAAACCAAAACCCCGGTGAATCGACCAGGAACTATGCCGCAGCCCTCAAGAGTTTGACACTGGACAGCGACTTAAGTGTGCCAGCGGCTACGGCTACAACATTGACGTCAAGAGGACGCAAAGAGCCTGTTTTACAGCGGAACCCAACAATACTGTCACGAGACATCACGCTGCGAGACAGATTCATTTGCAGAATCCGGGACGAACATCACCAACAGCGCCTCTTTGCCGAAAAAGAGCTGACTTTCCAAAGCACCTTGGATGTACACCTGTTAGTAGAGAGGCCCCGTCGAGGTGGTCTAGCGGCTAAGGTACTCGGCTGCTGACCCGCAGGTCGTGGGTTCAAATCCCGGCTGCGGTGGCTGCATTTCCGATGGAGGCGGAAATGTTGTAGGCCCGTGTGCTCAGATTTGGGTGCGCGTTAAAGAACCCTAGGTGTTCGAAATTTCTGGAGCCCTCCACTACGGCGTCTCTCATAATCATATGGTGGTTTTGGGACGTTAAACCCCACATATGAATGTATGTTAGCGGAGAACGCATCAAGGCAGCAGCGGGCAACCGGAGCTGCAACAGACTCAGAAGAAACCAACAAGGCTCCTGCCAACAACAAAGAAGCCAAGCAACTGTCTTCCCAACGACGTTGCTAGAGGTTTTCTGGCAGGCACGTCTTTTCTACGGGTGAACTCAAAACAGAAGATTGCCGTTTCTTCTCGAAAGTGGGTCATAATGCAGATGTCTGCATTCCACGTAAGAAGAAAAAAAAGCACAAACACCCACCAAGGAACACACGCACAGTGTCAACCCACTTCCTGCGTCTGATGAGACAGCGTGTAGTGATCCCTGTCACGAACTGCATGCAGTAAGTTGGCATACACACTGCCCCAAGTTCCTGGTGGACGTAGAAGTGGAGCGGAAATCGCTGCATTTCAAAGTGTACACGGGTGCTGCAAGCTGCATGATAAGAGTGTGGCAGCTTGGGCTAGTTGGTATGGCATGACGATAGTTTTAGCGCGAGAACAAAACGACGACACAAAACAAGAAGGCATCCTTCGTGTCCTTCTTGTCTCTGTGTCGTCGTTTTGTTCTCGCGCTATAACTGTCGTCCGTGATAAGCGAGAAGACATCATACCACGAAGCGTGGCCATAGAACGCTCCCCCACTTTCACGATAGCCACTCGACTTGCGTACTTGGTCGGAGAAAGAACCTGGAGACCACCCTTGGTCGTGCAAACTTCATCATCATGATCATCATCAGCCTGACTACGTCCACTGCAGGACAAAGGCCTCTCCCATGTTCCGCCAGTTAACCCGGTCCTGTGCTTGCTGCTGCTAGTTTATACCCGCAAACTTCTCAATCTTGTCTGCCCACCGAACCTTCTCTCTCCCCCTAACCCGCTTCCCTTCTCTGGGAATCCAGTTAGTTACCCTTAATAACCAGCGGTTATCCTGTCTACGCGCTACATGCCCGGTCCATGTCCATTTCCTCTTCTTTATTTAAACTATGATATCCTTAACCCCCGTTTGTCCCCTAATCCACTCTGCTCTCTTCTTGTCTCTTAAGGTTACACATACCAATTTTCTTTCCATTGCTCGCTGCGTCGTCCTCAATTTAAGCTGAACCCTCTTTGTAAGTCTCCAGGTTTCTGCTCCGTAGCTAAGTACCGGCAAGATACAGCTGTTATATACCTTCCTCCTGAGGGATAGTGGCAATCCACCTGTCATAATTTGAGTGCTTGCCGAATGTGCTCCACCCCATTCTTATTCTTCTAGTTACTTCAATGTCGGGGTTAGGCTCTGCGGTTATTATCTGCCCTAAGTAGACATAGTCTTTTACAACTTCAAGTCCACTATTACCTATCTCGAAGCGCTGCTCCTTTCCGAGGTTGTTGTACATTACTTTCGTGGTCTGCAGAATAATTTTAAGACCCACCTTTCTGCTCTTCTTGTCTAACTCCGTAATCATGAGTTGCGATTCGTCCCCTGAGTTACTACGCAATGAAATGTCATCGGCGAAGCGCAGGTTTCTAAGGTATTCTCCATTAACTCTTACCCCTAACTGTTCCCATTCTAGGCTTCTGAAAACCTCCTGTAAGCACGCGGTAAATAGCATTGGGGAGATTGTGTCCCCCTGCCTTACACCCTTCTTGATTGGTATTCTGTTGCTTTCTTTATGCAGCACTATGGTAGCAGTTGATCCCCTGTAGATTTCTTGCAGAACGTTTATATATACTTCATCTACGCCCTGATTCCGCAGTGTCTGCATGACGGCTGATATTTCTACTGAATCAAACGCCTTCTCGTAATCTATGAAGGCTATGTATAGTGGTTGGTTATACTCTGAGCATTTCTCTATTACCTGATGGATAGTATGAATGTGGTCAATTGTTGAGTAGCCTGTTCGAAATCGTGCTTGTTCCTTTGGTTGATTGAATTGTAATGTTTTCTTTACTCTGTTAGCAATTACCTTTGTAAATAGCTTGTATACTACAGAGACTAAGCTTATCGGCCTGTAATTCTTCAAGTCCTTGTCATCTCCTTTCTTATGTATTAAGATGATGTTAGCGTTCTTCCAAGACTCTGGTACCCTTCCCGTCAGGAGACACCTCGCAAACAAGGTGGCAAGTATTTCTAACACAATCTGTCCTCCATCTCTCAGCAGATTTGATGTTACCTGATCCTCACCAGCAGCTTTGCCTCTTTGCATGCTCTCCAAAGCTTTTCTGACTTCTTCTATCATTACTGGTGGGGTGTCATCTGGGTTACTCCTAGTTCTTATAGTATTAAGGTCGTGGTTGTCTCGGCTACTGTACAAATCTCTGTAAAACTCCTCCGCTATTTTAACTATCCTATCCATATTGGTACTTATTTTGCCTTTTTTTTTCCTTTAGTACATACATCCTACTTTTCCCTATCCCAAGTTTCTTCTTCACTGCTTTGACGCTTCCTTCGTTTTTCAGAGCGTGTTCAATTCTCTCCATGTTATACCTTCTTACGTCGGATACCTTGCGCCTATTAATCAACTTCGA